CCATAGCAGTATTTAAGGAGAAACTTACAGAAGTAAACATCTATATCTGAAAAAAAGAAAGGACTCAAATCAGTGACTTTGACTTCAACCTTAGAAACCAGAGAAAGAAGAGCAAAGGAGACCTAAGCTGAGTAGAAGAAAGATCAGTAGAAGTTGATGAAATAGAAAACAGAAAATAGAGAAATATCAGTGAAACCCAAAAGCTTATTTTTTGAGAAACTCAGTAAAACTGAAACATCTTTAGCCATACTTAACAGGGGAAAAAAAGAGAAGATGCAAATTATCAATATCAGGAGTGAGTGAAGGATATTACTACAGAGTCTATATTTAAAGGATAATAAGTAATATTATGAACAACTTTATCCTAATAAATTTGAAAACAAATTTAAAAAATCTTTGAAAGATACGAATTGTGATAGATCACTAAAAAAAGGTATAGGTAATCCTAATAGTTCTGTATCCACTAATGAAATTGAATTTAATGTATAGTTAAAACCTTCCCACAAAGAAAGTTCCAGGCCCAGATGTCTTTATTGGTGAATTTTATGAAATAGTCAAGGAAGAGGCAATGCAAGCTTTATACAAACTCTTTCATAAGTTGCTGAAGTGAAAGACTTTCCAACCCATTCTATGAAATCAACATTACCTGTTGTTAAAACTAGACCAAAATAATACAAGTAAAGAAAACTATAGGAGATCATCATTCCTTACGATAATGGTAACAAACAATCTAAAAATTTCAGCAGATGAAATCTAGCAATATATAGAAAAGATAATACATCATGATCAAGTAAAGTTTATCCCAGTAATACAGTGTTGGATTAACATTCAAAATTTAATTAGTGGTATATGCCCAGAAGAAATGAAAGTAGAGGCTCAGGAAGATACATGTACACCCATGTTCGTAGCTGTGTTATTTACAATAGCCCAAAGGTGGAGGCAACCTAAATGTCCATCAACAGATGAATGGATAAACAAGTTTGGTGTATGCATACAGTGGAACATTATTCAGCCTTAAAAAGGAAGGAAGTTCTGTCACATGCAAATGAACCCTGAGGACATATGCTAAGTGAAATAAGCCAGTCAAAGGACAGGGGCATATGTGGTGGCTCATTCCTGTAATCCTGGCACTTTAGGAGGCCGAGGCAGATGGATCACCTGAGCTCAGGAGTTCGAGACCAGCCTGGCCAACATGGTGAAACCCCTTCTATACTAAAAATACCAAAATTAGCCGGGCATGGTGGCGGGTGCCTGTAATCGCAGCTACTCAGAAGGCTGAACCAAGAGAATCACTTGAACCCAGGAGGCGGAGGTTGCAGTGAGCCGAGTTCACACCACTGCACTCCAACTTGGGCAACAGAGCAAGACTCTATCTCAAACAAACAAACAAACAAACAAAAAACAAATACTGAAGGATTCCCCTTAAATATGAGGTAGTTGTTGTAATCAAATTCGTAGAGACAGGATGGAGAATGATGATTGCCAAGGACCAGGAGAGAGAGAAATGGCAAGTTAGTGGGTACAGAGTTTCAGTTTGGGAAGAGGAGAAAGTTCTAGAGATTGAAAGGTGGTAATGGTTACACAAACACACACATTAGCCCAGGCCTACTTAGGGTCAGGATCATCATATCACTGTCTTCCACCTCCACAACTCATCCCACTGGAAGGTCCTCAGGGGCCGTAACACCCGTGGAGCTGCCATTTCCTATGATAACAATGCCTTCTTCTGGATATCTCCTGCAGGACCTGCATGAGGCTGTTATACAGTTAATATTTTAAAATATATATATATATATATAAATAGAAGGAGTACACTTTAATGATTTTAAAAGTATAGTACAGTAAATACATAGGCCAGTAACATGTTCATTTAGCATCATTATCAAGTAACATGATTGTCTGTGGTATACTTTTATATCACTGGCAGCACAGTAGGTTTGTTCACACCAGCATCACCACAGACAGGTGAGTAATGCATTGCGCTAGAACAGCCACGCCCTTTCAGCTCCATTATAATCTTATGGTGCCACAGTGTCCATCATTGACTGAAGCATCATTATGTGGCGCATGACAGTATTCACACAAAAACTTGTACATAGCTCTTCATAGCAACATTATTCATAATAACCAAAAATGGAAATAACCTCAATATCCATTAGTGATAAATGGATAAACCAAATGTGGTATATACATACAGTGAATTACGTGGCCATTTAGGAATGAAGTACGTGCTACAGTATGGTTGAACCTTGGAAACTTATGCTAAGAGAAAAAAGCCACACACAAAAGGCCATATATTGTATGATTACATTTATATGAAGTGTCAGGAATAGGAGAGAATTCATAGAGAAACATAATAGATTAGTGTTTTCCAAGGATGAGGGAAGAGGGAGTTGGGGACATAGAATTTCATTTTGGGATGATGGAAATGTTCTGGAAATAGATAATAGCGGCGATGCACAACATTGTGAGTAACTAATAGCCAGTGAATTATATACTCTAAAATTGTTAAAGTGGTGAATTTTGTGTAATGTTAATTTTATTTCAATACAATTTTAAAAAATCAACCAGTGATTCCAAAACCAAAGGCCTTACAAGAAAGAAAACTACAGACCAGTATCTCTCATGAAAAAAAAAAAAACAAAAAAAACACAAAAAAAACGAAAAACTGGCAAGTTGATCCCAGCCATGTATAAAAAGAATTGCACAGCGTGACCCAGTGGGATTTATTCCAGATATGCAAAGCAAGTTCAGCATTCAAAAATCAATGTAATCCATTACATAAACAGATTAAAGAAGAAAATCATATTATTAATGTGAGAAAGCATTTGGTGAAATCCAGTTTGTTATGAAATATTCTCAGCAAACTAAGACTAGAGGAAGCTTCTTCGATAAAGAAATATCTACGGAAGCCCTGCAGCTAACATTATCTTCAGTGGTGAGAAAAGAGATACTTTCCCTCTAAGATCAGGATCAAGGCAAGGAAGATGTCCCCCTCACCACTCCTATTCAAGAAGTATAGCCAGACATCAAACCTACGTTTTTTCTTATATGAGTTTCTGAAGCTTAGTGATAAGTTATGTATCTTTGAAGTTTTTCAATAAAAGAATCTGTTTCACCTTAAACAAAAATAGGTGATCTGAGTGTTGTGGTTTTTTTGGTTTTTGTTTTCCAGTAGTCAAAGGTAGCCTGTCACTGAGAGAGAGAACCAACTTTAACATCAGGGAGAATAGGGTTTTGATTCTATCTTTGTCATTCATTCCTTTTGTAGCTTTGAGCAAGCCACTTAACATTTCTAGCCTTTGTCTCCTCTGGCCCAGGAAGGCCACTCAGAAGGCTAAAGCCCCTTATTATCTAGGGCTGCTGTCATCCCCTTGGGCTCAAATATGATAGATAGAAGGCTAAAGGCCCCCTCAGTAAAAAGAGGGGTGAGGTGTTAGGGGCCACTTTCTGCTTGAAATAGACTTGAGTATACTTGAACTCATTAGAGAGTTCACTTTTTATTCCATCACTGTTAGAACTTGAATTGAACATTTGATGATAGAGATGTAAAAAGATCTTCACGAGTTTCTCCAAGAAGCTACATCTTTTAGTTAAGGTCTGTGTTTAGATCTTGATGGTGGCTGGTACTCTGAAAGATGTGTATTGTAGAGACATCACAGTGTCACTGCTTCCCTATTCCCTTCGATTCTCCAAGCTTCAAATACCTGCTCTTAGAACATCAGGCATTTGTTGAATGACTGCCCTATGGTTCTGACTGTACTGTATGGTAGCAATCTAAAAGGGCCATCTTGCTAAGATTGTATTTGTTGTAAACTGACGAAATCACCCACTTTGCAGGGTCATTACAATGATTAAGCTAGAAAATGTATTTAAGTGCCTGGCACTTGTTAGACACTCAGAAGTTGGCAGATGATATTGTTATTGTCAGCAGAGCTGCATTTATTTATCCATACTGTCTAACTCTGTTTTCATGATCAGAATGTGAAATCAGTGCCTTCTCCATGACCTCACCACAGTCATGATGTGTGTGTTCATGCCCCATCAGACTGCCAGCCCTTGGGAGCAAGTCCCAGTGGGGTCTAGGTTGCAGGATATCAGTCTTTGTTCATTTCAGTTAGCTCTGTTCAGTGACTACAGATGCCCTCCACCTCATTACCTGGAATATATAATAAGAACACAAAAGTCCTTCCACCTGATTTCATTTGGTAATTGAGAAGCCATAAGACCTCAGCCAAACTATTCCACCTCATTGTGCCTCACCTTGCCCATGTGTAAAATAGGGAGATGGGTTAACTGGTATGAATAGCCTCTTCTAACTCTGGAATTGTGTGACGTGATAACTATAATCATATTGCTCTTGTTTATTAACAACTATAGGAATTTTTCTGTCATTATTCATACACACACACACACTTTGACGTAAGGGATACTTCACTTTCTTCTATATGGTTCTTAGAAATAATTCTGTCCTTCCCATGCATTTAATTTTTGAAGGAAAGTGTTCATCTAGAACTTTTGTATGGCTTTATAAGACAGACTTCATTGAAAGAAGAACAGTATGCGCCGGTTTTTTTGTAAGTGCACATAAACTGACGGTAGTGAATATATTACATGAACGTCACTGCTAATGTGTGTTGTGGTCACAGCTGGCTGTGGCTCTCTCCAGTCCAGCCGCCCTAGCATGTCTGAGGGAGGTGGCCCAAGCCCTTTGGTAACAGGAGCTATGTGTGGCAGTAATCCTTGGGTTGGCACATGTGGGAACATTGGGAAGAGATGGATAGTTTTTTTAAAATCACCAAAAACACTCAGACACACCTGCCTACTGGTGAATACTCCCACCCCCAACGAGAACCACTGTTCTACCCTGTCCTTGAAATGGTTCTGCTGGTCAGCTTATTCTGGGGTGGGGAGAAGAGAATGGTGCATCCCCTTGGGCCATGTTCTTCCAACCTCCTTAGGATGCTTTATAGGTTGTTTTCTTTTCTCTTGGTTTTCAGCGCATCAGAGCAGAGTGACGATGATCCTGTTTGTCCTGGAGCTGGAGTGGGTGCTGAGCACAGGACAGGACAAGCAATTTGCCTGGCACTGCTCTGAGAGTGGGCAGCGCTTGGGAGGTTATCGGACCAGTGCTGTGGCCTCAGGTCTGCAGTATCCTTTGCTGGACAAAAATCTCTTAGCGGGTACTTACCTGTTGACCTCTTTGTTTCATGAAATTTTGGGGTATGTGCAACTTGTACATTTTGTTAATGACTGAGTTGCCCAGTGTGATTATAGTGCTCATAGAATTTCCTAAGGCACAAATCATCAAGAGTTCCCATGTAAGCAGAGTGAAGTGCGGTCACTTCACCTGAAATAATGGACTGCTGGGCCATTTGTGAGCCTAGTGTAACACAAGGTCTGACATCTAGACAGAACGCAGTGCAGATTCATGAACCTCAGCTCTCAGAAATAATTATGGTACCTGAAGATGAAATCGTTTACCAAAATGTAATCTTTGCTTTTTGTACAAAAGTAATTTACACATAGATATCAAGGTTGTGAACATTCCTATTGGTGCCGGGGAAAAGAACCACAGGATCCTGTTCAGTTTTAAATAGCTATTGAGAGGCTACCATACCAGGGCCAAAGTAGATGAGCTGTTATCTACATGGTAATGTTAAAAGTTTTGTTCCAGGAATGAAACATTTTCAGGATATGTAGAATGATATTTTTGTCTCCCAAGTTGCCAGGGTCCTCGTGCTTAGGGTGAATCCTTGCCAATGCTGGGTAATGCTCACATCTGCCTGACTGGGCTCCAGCTAAGCATAGTATTGAGCAGTGCATGACGTGTGGATGAGGCTGCCATTGTAGGGAGTAAAGGACCCTGCGGTTCTTAGTTTAAAAAGCATACGGTCTCTATCTTCTGACACATTAAGAAGTTGGTAGAAACAGGTCACTTGTCAGCGAAAGCAGGAAGAAACAGTAAGTCCTGCTTCCTAATTTCATCTCCGTGTTTATAAAATGCCTATTCAGTGATTCTCAACATCTGACAAAGTACATTGCTGTTTCTTTGAAACCATGTGGCATTCAAAGGTATATTTTTGTGTTTATATAAGGTGATATCACTCTTATTTTTCTCACGGGAAGAGCAAGGTGAAGAAACTAAGAATGACCATTGTGGAAAGTTGTGAAAGTAGCAAGTTGCCAAGAAGACCAAAGGCAAGGATAATAAGGAATGACAGGCAGGATCAACTCATCTTTGAGAGGCTAGTACTGCCTGTTAATAAACTCCAACCTTTATTTTCTAAAAGCCAATTCAGATGGGCATAATACTGAAATTGAAATACATGAATTCTCTTGCCAATACATTAATGACTTCTTACAGTATTAGAGCTGGAAGGGCACTTAGAGATCACCCAGTCTAACCCTTCTGTCTTTGTCCATTTGGGCTCTATAATAAATTACTGTAAACTGGATATCTTATAAACAACAGAAATTTGTCTCTCACAATTCTGGAGGCTGGGAATTCTAAGATCAGGGCACCAGCAGCTTTAGTGTCTGGTGAGGGTGCTTGCTTCCTGCTTCACAGACAACATCTCCCCGTGTCCTCACATGGTGAAAGGGCAGAGGAGCTCTCTGGGACGTTTTTTTTTAATAAGGGCACTAATCCCATTCATGAGGATTCATATCCAAACACCATCACACTGGGAATTAGATTTTAACATACGAATTTTGGGGAGACATAATCATTCTGTCTTGCTTATCTCTCTCACACACACTGTAATTATGGGTGGTGATGGATGTGTTAATTTGACCATGATGATTATTACACAATGTATATGTATATCATCACATTCTACATTTTGAATATATACAATCTTTGTCAATTAAATATTTTTAAAAAATTCAGTCTATAGTACCCTTATTTTACAGATGAGCTGGCTGAAGCCCAGAAAGGGTCCTGTGTCTTATCTGAGGCCACCCAACTAGTAAGTAGGAAAATCCTCGCAAGAACCCAGGCCTTCTGCCTTGGACTCCTATTTTTTCCCCATTATACTACATTGCTCCTTCAAGAAGGAACTGATGGCATCAATATAATTTGGTCTTATGCTGGTTTATGTATTACTTAGCCAAGCCCAAGGAGTGTGGAAAAAAAAAAATACAGATATTGCCCTCGGGAAGCTAACTTTTTAAACTATTTGAAAATGAAAAACAAAAAACAGATGCACAGTGTTCAACTTGCCCTAACTGTTATAGTCTTTGATGCAGGATTATAGCCATCACAGCTACTCCCTTTGGGCATCTCCAGGAGTCATCCTCATTTTGTGACTATTCCCTTTTGTCACACCATGTGGCTTACCAAGCAGAAAGTCATGTGACTGGGTGTCAGAAGCCTATGTGTGTGAGAGCCTCTGGTTTCAGTTCCATCCAACCACCCTCACTGTTCAGGTGGTGAAGAGCTGCAATACTACAGACAGGCCCTCCCAGAAGATTCCCTGACCTCTGCCAGCTCTGCCTTGCCAACTATGATTTTTGGAGCCATGGTGCCAACCTTTGCTCTTGAGTATTTTTCCATTGCTAAACACCGATGGCATGACAGCTCTGTGCTTTTGCCAGAGGGTCTTACCCAAGAACCATGTGACTTTTCTAAGGCTGGAATTTTTTTTTTGATGCTGGCGGGTAGGCAGATTGTTAATAGGCAAGCCATACAGTATTAGCGTTCACATTTAAATTTAGCTTTTAAAAATATTTCCTCTTGTGAACATCCCACCCCCACCCCGCTCCTTTCCTTCTTTCTGTCACCCTCCACACTTACAGGGGTTTTGGTTTCATTGTTTGTTTGTTTTAGTGATGAAGGGAGGAGGAAGATCTGATGAATCAACATGAAATATGAATAATATCATTACGCCTATTTATCTTCATAGTAGATAGCTAATGGCTGATAAGAGACCTCCGCAGATGACTCATTCTTTTCTTATTTCCACATCACAGTCATTCACCCAAGGTAAGAAGTGACAGACTAAATCAGATTGAATTCCGCCGTTATTCCTCTTCTTTCAGGCATCTTAGTGGAAAAGTAAATACGCAGTGAAAATAACCAAATTTCAAGTAGAAAAATAAAGGAAGAAAAAGAGTTCATAAATTTAATTATCAATTTATGATAATTTATAATATCTTAGATTGCAGGCTTTTACCCATTACATTGTTCACTGTCAAAACAATAACATGAAGTAAAAACAAAATTGAATTATCAATTTATGAATAACCTCAAATTATTTGTTTTGATTGAAGATCTGAAGCTTTAAATATAAATGACCTGTAATAGTAACAATAAGAATGACAATAATAATAGGGAGAGAAAAGGAAATAGAAAAAAAAATCTTAGATTTGCAGGTTTTTACACATTACTTTGTTCACTGTCAAAACAATAATGTGAAGTAAAAACAAAAGACCTAATTCTCAGTTTTCACAATGTAGAAACCATGGCTCAGGAATAGGTGACTTGCTCAAGGTCACATGCCTGTTAACTGGCAGAACCAGGATTAGAATTTGGGGATTATAATTTTTCAGCCAGCCCTCTGCACAACTGGGTACAGCAGAATGATTTCCTGAAGGCCCCATGGCAGGTAGATAATAGGAAGTAGAAATGTGTTCCTTCCCCACTTCACTTGTTAGTCTTTAAATTTGTAAGTACTTTATCCAGCTTCATTTGTCAGTGTCTTGTTGTTTGACCATATTTTGATTATGTTTTTCCTGTTTTTACAAAAATACTTCAAATACTCTATTTTAGGATTTTATTCATGTTGGAGATATTTCCAAAATGTCACCATGTGTAGTGGAATGTTTCCCACCTAAGGCAATCTCTTAGATTTATTTCTGTTCAGATAAAGAGTTCTAAAAAACTGTTAAGATTATGTCAGTTTCTTTGTATCGTTCTTAATGCCAGTCACTCACATCCACTGTTGATTCTTCTATCCCTTTTTGCTTTCTCTCAATTTTTGCTATTTTACAGCAAATTCTAGACCTTATATCATTTTATCCTTATATACTTCATTGAAAATATTTGGCTTACTTTTTCAGCAATCATAATGCTATTATTACATCTAAAAATTAACAGTCACTCTTTGATCTCAATATTGTTGAATAATCAATCCATTTTCAGATTTCAGTGATTATTTTGAAAATAGCTTTTTTGGAGTGGGTTTGAAATTGGATCTAGACAAGATCCACACATTGCACATGATTATCATATCTTCTAAATCTTTCTTCATCCAGAGCAGTGCTCCCTTCACTTTTTTTTTAATGCCACTGCCAAGTTGAAGGTACTGAATCAGTTCCGCACACAGTCCCACATTCTAGATTGATGTCATTTAACTTGCTCCTTTGCCTACCCTACTCACACGTTTTCTGTAAACTGAAAAACTGCCCCTATAATCTTGATTTCATTCAGATTCAGCTTTTTAGTGACAGCATTTGGTTCTCACCAAGTGTGCTTCATTGAGCTTCCCATCATAAAGCACGTGACATTGCATTGTCGCCCTTTCAGTTATGCTGAGATTGATCGGCAGTTCAGGTGGTGACAGCCAGATCCCTGCAGTGCTGTCCTCCGCACCAGCCTTTTCATGGTTTCATCCATTGCTGAGCTTTGCCTGAACTCTTTTTTCGTTAATGTTGCAAAATGGTGATTTTCTAATCCTATCATTTTTCCTATGTATTTGTTGGAATTCTTCCAAAGGATAACTTCCCCCTCATTAACTAGGCCTGTTTGGTTACCCTGAAATACAATTATTATAGGAAAAGCAGGATACATTCTTCTGTCTTTTAGTTGCTAATTTTCAGAGTACAGATTTAGTGCCCTGGTTACCTTTAGTAGGAATCATTTTTTTTTTCTTTTTGAGCACTATTATAAATGTTAGGTTGTTTGTTTTTAAATAATAATATGTTCAGTATATTTCAATAAATTGCCATCTTTTTATTGTATGTTCAAATTATCCCATCTTTGAGTAACAGCCCCATTAAATGGACCCCAATGTCTATTTTATTTTATTTTATTTCGAGACAGAGTTTCACTCTTGTCACTCAGGCTGGAGTGCAATGGCGTAGTCTCAGCTCACTGCGACCACCACCTCCTGGGTTCAAGTGATTCTTCTGCCTCAGCCTCCTGAGTACCTGGAATTACAGGTGCCCACCACCATGCCTGTCTAATTTTTTGTATTTTTAGTAGAGACAGGATTTCACTGTGTTGGCTAGGCTGGTCTCAACTCCTGACCTCGTGGTCTGGCTGCCTCAGCCTCCCAAAGTGCTGGAATTACAGACGTGAGCCACTGCACCTGGCCCAATTTTTTTTTTTTAAAGACTATTTTTTAGAGCTGTTTTAGATTCATAGCAAAATTAAGCAGAATTTCCTGTGCACCTTATGACCTCAACATGCATGGCCTCCCCATTACCAGCACCCCCACAGCAGAGTGGTACACTTGTTACAATTAGTGAACGTACATTGGTACATCATTATCACCCAAAGTCCATAGTTTAGGGTTCACTCTTGGTTTTGTACATTCTGTGGATTTGGATAAATATGTAAAGACATGTATCTACCATTGTAGCGTCATATGGAATAGTTTCATGCTGTAAATAGCCTCTGTGCTCTACCTGTTCGTCCCTTACTACCGTGTCTAAAAGAAGCCTATTTAGCCTTTGGGAGCTTCCTTGCCTTCTGACTCAACATGTCTCATGTTCATCTTGTACTTTTCCTGTCCAGTCCTGGAATCAGTCATTTTTTTAGTAAGGAACAATATTCAGAGTTAGCTAAGAAGTATATATAAATGAGTGTGTATTTTTAAAAAGAGAACAAATCATCAGTTCATATATTTCTTATTCAAATTTAACATTACAGGATTTTTACTTTTTGGTTTTTGTACTTGATTCTTTATCTCAGGCTGGAAAATCTTGGTAGTTAAAACATTGGCATAGTTCCTCATTTGCTTTATCCTACGCTTTATTTAAATGGTTCGAAAATAATGAACAATACGAAATAACAATAAGACTAGTGAATGTGATTTTATATTTCTTTGCAACTCTCTTTGTCCTTAGAATATATTCTACCAGTGATGGGGGTGAGACTTCTCCCTTGTCATAGTTCCCATTTTGGAATCCTGTAATATTTTGACATATTTAAAAATACATAAAATTTTTGGTCAGGCATGGTGGCTTACACCTGTAATCCCAGCACTTTGGGAGGCCAAGGTGGGAGGATCACTGAGCCTAGGAGTTTGAGACCAGCTTGGGAAACAGAATGAGACACTGAAACATTGAAAATGTTGTGTTTTAAAGGCACTTGAAATCATTTTAACTATGTGATTATTTCACCAATTTGATAGTTATGTTCATTCATTTTACTTCGTTTTCAATATGGGGGAGTTTAAAAAAAATTATTTGAAATACATATATATGTGTATATATATATATATATATATTTTAAATTATTTGAAATACACACACATACACACACACACACACACACACACACACACACACATATTTTTTTAAGACAGGGTCTCACTGTGTCACCCAGGCTGGAGTGCAGTGGCTTGAACATGGCTCACTGCAGCTTCGACTTCCTGGACTCAAGCGATCCTCCTGTCTCAGCCTCCCATATAGCTGGAACTACAGGCATGTGCCACTGTGCCCAGCTAATTTTTTTAGTTTTTGTAGAGGTGAGGTCTCGCTTTGTTGCCCAGGCTGGTCTCGAATTCCTGGGCTCAAGTGATCTTCCCTCCTTGGCCTCCCAAAGTGCTGGGATTACAGGCATGAGCCACTGTGCCTGGCTACAAATTTTATGTACCTTTTAATATGTAAAAATATTACAAAATGCCAAAATAGCAACTATGACAAAATAGAGGTCTCACTCCCATCACTGTCCCCTCACCTTGCAGGAGCCACTTTTGTTAGATCTTAATCCTTCTAGTACTTCTCTTTCTAAATATGAGTGGATACATGCACATGCACACACATACATACACATTTGTATTTCTCTCCCTTTCTTACACAAAAATAGTATAGCTTATAAACTCTCATATGCCTTGGCTGCCCCCCCCAAACTTAATAACATATCCTGTTGTTCGTGTATAAAGAGCTCCATTCTTCCCCCAGCTGCATAATATTCTATTGTGTGGATGTAGCATAGTTAATTCAGTAAGTCCGCTATTGATAGACTGTTGGATTATTTTCAAACTTTACCTATTAAAATAACATGGAGTGACTAGTCTTGGGCATGTGTCATTTTGTATTTTTGCCTATGTATCTCTGGGACAGATCTTTAGAAATAGGGTTGCTAGGCGTTGTCATCCAGAGAAGCTTATTAGAGACTCCATGCCTAGGGCTTTTACTGGTTATGTAGGCAGGTACCTGGGACATTCCAAAATTCCAGATTCCCAGAAGGAAAGCAGGTATTCAGCATAAGCCATATTGTTTGAACAGTTAAGGCACAGTGAGCCACTTTTATCAGTTAATGGTGAGAACCTTTGCAAAAGCCAAATTCTCAGACACCATGCCAACTTTGTAAGCAGACTTTCAGAAGATCACAGTCAGAGCTGCTGTGTTAACTCGTTTTGTACAGCGCCATTTTGATTTCTCCTTGAACTACCTATTAATAGTTCCATTCAAATTTTGCCCATTTTTCTATTAGGTTTGTGATCTTTTTCTTCTTGATTGCTCTTTTTATATTAGAGATTTGGGCCCTTTGTGACATAAGTTGCAAATATTTTTTTCCAGTTTGTCTTCTGGCTTTGCTCATAATATTTGTTGTGGTTTTGAGTCATAGCTTTTCTCACTCTGTTACAAAGAAACTTTCCTACCTAAGCTTATGTTTTCATTTTCTACATTTAGATCCCTAATTCATTTGGAATCTGTCCTGGTATACAATGTGAAATACAGATTCTATTTTCTTTTTCCAAATGGCTATCCAGTTTGTGCCAGCATCATTTTTTTTTAAATCTATCTTTCCTTATTCATTTGAAAAGCTACCTTCATCAGGCATTTACTAAATTTAAGTGTGCTTTTGGGTTTATTTCTTGACTTTGCATTCTGTTCTATTAGTCTATTTATACATCAATACCATACTTTTAATTAAACTTTTAACATTTTAAAATATCTGGTAGGGGAGGATATCACATAACATACTTATTTTCAGAGTATTCTTGGCTCTTTTTTGCTTATTTATTTTTCCATATGAACACTTAGCTAGAAAACATGTGTTGATAGTTTAAACGTGTAATGTATAGATTTTAAATGTATACATTAATGGAGCAAGAAGTGACATCTTTGAGTTTTATTTTCAGAGTATTCATGGCTCTTTTTGCTTATTTCAGAGTATTTTATTATTTTCAGAGTATTCTTGGCTCTTTTTGCTTATTTATTTTTCCATATGAACACTTAGCTTGAAAACATGTGTTGACGGTTTAAAAATGTAATGTATAGATTTTAAATGTATACATTAATGGAGCAAGAAGTGACATCTTTGAGCTTTAATCCTTATTGTCCAATAATACAGTATGTCCTTCATTTGGTTAAGTTCACTTTTGTGTCTTTCAGTACTGTCTTTAAGTTTTCCTCAGATGGCATTTGTGTATTCCTTGTTGCATTTATGCCCTGTTTTTTGATTGTAAATTCCCCCATTCAATTTTGAGAAACAATCCTTAATGCTTACATGACAGATTTGATGTTGAAACCCGGCATGTGTTTATTGGTGACCACTCAGGCCAAGTAACAATCCTCAAACTGGAGCAAGAAAACTGCACCCTGGTCACAACATTCAGAGGACACACAGGTAGGGTTAACAGCAAAATCATCATGTGCTGAAAATGCAGTGAGATATTGCCTGCTGTATCTACTGATGTTCAGATGTATTTTGAAATTGGCAAAGTACAATCCATGCTTGTGCAAAAGTACACATGATATGCTTAACTGATTTCAAAATGGTTCAGTAAGATATAAAATCAAACATTTTTTGTATAATCCAAACAAAAGAGAAAATGTTGATAATTTGGTTCTCTGTCATATTGCACCGGAGAAAGCCAGTGTTTGGCCTACAATAATGAAGCATTGTTTGAGACCACGTGGCCTCAGACAGCTCAAACCCCAGAAGGCCCAAACCCCACAAGGCCAAAAAGACAGCTGCCTTGGTCTGACCTTGCCCTTCCTGGAGTTAGAAGATGGTGTACAAGAAAGATTCCCATTTCCAACTCAAAAGAAAAGACAGGTATACTCTTCGTAGGTAGCTAGACTTTGTGAAAAAGGTCAAGTTCCTCTCCAACTTTCCTTCCTTTGTATTCTTTTCAGTTTAAAACACAAGGTCCCCTTTATGTTATTGGTCTGCTCAGGGTCATTTAAGCAAGGTAACATAAAATATTCATGCTTAGCCTTTGAAAGACTTCATAGATGATAATGATTAATTTTTTACTGGTAGTTTTAAAGTACTATTGACTCTAGAACACATTGACCCTAGAAAATGAGTCATTGCCAGTTTTCATGGTTATTTTCTTTCTGTTTTTTACTGGCTACCAACCCATGATTTTGCGTAAAATGGGATAATCCTGAGTTTAGATGTTTTAAGAAAAAAGTAGGGGAAAGAAGATGTAAAATTGGATAGTACCTAGATCATAAGGGGCTTCCTAAAGGGAAAAAAAAATGGAATGCTGGAATAAGAAACATATAGTAAGGAGAAAATTGAATCCAAGGAAGAAGATTCATAAAAGATCACCTTTATTTATGCCTTTGGGAGGAAGAACACATGGAAATATACCCTATGGATAGGACCCTGGTCTTCCCTGATTGAATTTCTTTTTTGGCCACTCACACCCTCACCAAACTTTGGCCAGGACTGGGCCTAGGGTTCTGGAGGGCACCCAGAATTGTCCCACCTCAGAACTTAAACTTCTGTGCTTCACTGCAGACTTCAGCCTCCTCATCCTCCAGTTCCCTGCACCTTTACTTTGTTCCACTTATGGTTTACCCTTGTGGCACATTCCAGCCCGCAGTCCCTCCCTTTTCCCAGCGTCTCAGGCCCTGCATCACCTTTCCTCCCAGTGGTGCATTAATTCACCCATGCCTTCCTAGTGTTCTCAGTTCTGTGAATGTAAATATTCTGCCTTCTTGGCAAGCCTTTCTGATTCAGACTAACTCTCTACCTTTTCTCCTTGTGCAGCCAGCTGCTGGGTCTACCTACAGTAGTCATGCTGCCTTGAGGCTTAGACCATCATGACCATTGCACACTCACGATTTCCTCTTCAGAGTCACGAAGTTGCCTAATAATCCCTCTCCCTGTTCTCAGTTCACTCCTTCTCCCAGACCCCTAAACAGAGACCTTCACCATCCTTCCCAAGCCCCTGTCTCCATCTCATTCCTTGCCTCGTCCTTAAAAACTATCAGATAGAAGCTTTTTTTAAAAAGCATATTTCTTGTCCACTGTATATCCCCCCCACCCCAACAAACAAATTTTCTTCTCCTCTTCTCGGTGCAGGAAAGCTGCTTTCCTCTGGCCCCAGGCTTCAGGGTCACCATACCAAAATAGATTGCCTTGGTCTCTCTTTTGACTAACTCAGCTTTCTCAATTTATTAACATGCTTATATTTCTTGCTTCTCTGGTAGGAAAACAAACACCCTCTCAATCCCATGTCTTATAGCAATTTCCTTCTTATTAATAGCAATGCTTTAAAAAAATTATGGTAAAATGTGTAAAACAGAAAATTTACCATTCTAACCATTTTTAAATGTGCTGTTCAGTGGCATTAACTACATTCACACTGTTGTGCAATCATCACCACCTTCCATCACAGAATCTTTTTCATCTTGTGAAACTGAAACTCTTTTCCCTTGGACATTAAGTCCCCATCCTCCCCCCCTCCCCGTACCACCCCCCGCCCCAACCTCACCATTCCCTGGAAACTGTTATTCTATTTTCTGTTTCTATGAATTTGACTAGTCTAGGTGACTCACAGGAGTGGAATCATGCAGTATTTGTCCTTTTGTGACAGGCTTATTTCACTCAGCATAATGTACTCAAGGTTCATCCAAGTTGTAGCAAACAACAGTGTTTCTTAGAAGAATATAATTTTCCCAGCTGCTTCATATTTTTCACTTCCAATTTGCCTTCCAGCTCCCTGCAATCTGGTTTGTCATTATTACGCCACTGAAACTGCAGTCCCCGAGGTGTCCAGCAGCCCTCTGGGGCATGCTGTAAACCTTGTTGTACTTAGCTTTTCAGCAGCATTTTACATTGCTGCCATTCCTTCTGGCTGTAACTGCCTTCCTTTGGCTTTTCTTCCGCTACGCTGCTGGCTTTCTCGGGCTCCATTGTGGTCTGTGGTATCCAGGATCTTCCCTGGGTCCCCTTCTCTTTATACTCTGTGTTGTCCCTTGTCATCTCAGCCATTCCTCCCAGTCACAGAGTAAAAGGCACAGTCATTGTCCTCAAATTCTTCACAACCCAGTGAGAGAGACAAAAGCTGAAGCATAGTTCTAGTGCATGGTGGCAAGGGCAGGCGGGGAGTGAGCACCTTGCACTTCTGGAAACACGGAAGGGCAGCCCACTTGAAGGAGGCGGAGGCAGTTAGGGATGGCCTTCTCGGGAGTCACTGCCTGACCTCAGATCTTTGGGGATGAGTAAGTATTGAGTTCATGGAAAACAAATGAGAAGAGCAACTCAGGCAGAGAAAACCAGCGTGTTCAAGGCAAGGAAATTGTAGGAGCATGGCTCTCTTGAGAACTGCTATCTTTTTTTGGTGGGAACACTGAGTGTGAGGGAGGGAGCGGGGAGGTCAGGGTGAAGGAGCAGCCAGAAAGGAAGCAAGGGTCACTTCCCATCACTGAGGCAGTGCTGGCACGTCACTGAGAGACTATTAAAGAGTTTGAAGCAAAGAAGATAACATGATTGGATTTTAAAAGATCGTCTGGCAGTAGAGAGTGGAATTGGAAAGCTGGTAGGGAACTGTTCCTTGAGATGGGACTGTGGCAGTGGGAAAGTAAGGAGTGGATGGATTCAAGGTAGAATTCAGAGGTGTATTTTGCAGTCCTGATAATAGACCTGATGGTTTCCAGGTTTGCTTTAGGCAGAGGTGGCTTTCAGCCTGACCTCTTGGGTCTCCAGTAATCAGGCACTCACCCACTCACCCCGTCACCGTATGGCAGCTAATAGGAGCCCTCTGAGTTTTGTATTGTTGCCTCCAGGCCAGAAAAGGGGCAGTAGCGGCCTCTAAGCACTGTTGTCAGCCGCATGTGGCTCAAGGGTCCCATGTTTTACAGGCTTGTTCTGATATGAAACATGACCTTGGCATTGTGCCTTATCTTTCTTAAAGAATTTAAAGCATTTTCATTTTATTTTTATCAAGAAATGTCTTAGAGAAAAACAGGAAATAGCCCAGGAAGTTCACTAACGGACAGGAAGGCAAATGTAGCAGGTCAGATTGTTACCTCGTCGTTGTTCCTAAACAGTAGTATCTGCCCATCACGAATGTGGCTACAACACGACTCATTCCTGGAAAGCTAGAGTGAGGGCATCTAAGAGAGTCCATGGTGGTTTAGACATATTGTTGAGCTCTTCCTAAGTGATAGGCTCATTCTAGGCCCTGGGAGGTCCCAAATACAGCTAGTCTCAATTCTGGTAAAGGGATTTTTGAAAGGACAAAACGAACACCCTAAAGTTAATCCAGTTCCATTAAAGAGCAGCTTTGGAGGTCCCATCACTCCACATGCAAACTCAGAAGCAGACAGGTCTTCAGTATGTGTCCAGAGTCACAGCCGTTCACCCCATCACTCTCTCTCACAGTACAGAAGGTCATACAAAAATGTGGGTTAATGAGGGGATCGACCTAGTAGTCATGCCCAGAGGCCAAAGCATAACATTTTTCTAATCCCTTGGGATTTAGGAAACTAGTTTTATGTTCTTATGCTCCCTCTGCTGGTTTTCTTTCTGGAGCTAAATGCCAAGTATCATAGTTCTTTGCCATTTCTGCTGTTTCTGCAGAAAGTAGAATGTATTTCTGTGAAAAAGTCATAAACTAACTTTAATAAAGGAGAAAAAAAAATCTTTTTTTTTGAAGACAGTCTTGCTCTGTTGCCCAGGCTGGAGTGGTGCAGTGACGTGATCTCGGCTCACTGCAACCTCCACCTCCCAGGTTAAAGGAATTCTCCTGCCTTAGCCTCCAGAGTGGCTGGGACTACAAGTGCCTGCCACCACACACAGCTAATTTTTGTATTTTTAGTAGAGGCAGGGTTTCACCATGTTGGCCAGCTGGTCTTGAACTCCTGACCTCAAATGATCCACCCACCTCAGCCTCCCAAAGTGTTGGGATTATAGGCCTGAGCCACCACATCCAGCCAAAAATCATATTTTGACCATTGGAAATTAATAGTGTTAATAACAGCCTTTTTTTCTTTTATTTCTAAGAAATTATTTTATTAGCATGAACATATTTGAAACAGGGGGGCTTGAATGTAAATCTGCCAAAGCATACTCATTAATGAAGAATTAAATACAAACTTGTTCGTGAGCCGTAAGGGGAAGTATTGAAGGGAACAGTGTAACTATAACAAAAATAACTAAACAAACTAAGAAAGTCACAGTTCAATGCAAACATGCAAGTTCTTATGATTTAGAACTTCAGTTTTGTTTACAGTGGAGACTCACACAGATCCAGTTTATATAAACTGCAGGTCAGTAGGTGTGAATTGTCATCCTATATAGATATGATGGTGCCAGGACATGTGAGTGAATAAAACAAGCATAATTTTTGCCCTTACCCATCTTCCAGCCAGCATGCATTAGACCAG